TAGTGGTGGTGTTAGGGAAGTAATAGGCCAAAATTCAGGTTTGGGAATGCTCTCAGGATACAGTTTTTTAATCAGGACAGTGCTATGTCTTTAGGCACACCTCTCTGGCTTTTGGCCTGTTGACCAGGTCTCTGCCCTGCTCAGGCAAGTGCTACAAAGCTCCTTTAGCTCTGCTGCTAGTTATACCTATATGTACCCCACTCTGCCATCAAACCTCCTGCTCAAAGACACTCGGCTTTCTTGCTCCATGGGCCGGCAGGCCCACAACTCTATCTTGTGCTTTTTGGTTCCTCTGTGGTCACCTCAGCTGGTCACCTCAACCAGTCGTCTCTGCCAAGGAGGTCCAGCGCAGGGATGTCAGGTCCAAGGATGTGCTCCATTCCACCTTCAGCTCTTTTCTCTTAATGGCAGTGAGATCCCCCTTTCTGCCTCTGTTGTTGTTATGTGTCATCAAGTCAGACCCGACTCATAGCGACCCCCTCCTTGGGTTTCCAAGGCAGTATCACTACGGAAGTAGATTGCCCCATTTTTCTTCCCAGGAGTGGCTGGTGGGTTTGAACTGCCAGCCTTCTGGTTAGCAGTCAAGTGCCTTAGCCACTATGCTACCAGAAGGCTCATTTTAAGCCTGGTAGAGTGACAAAACTGAGTAATCCCAACATCAGAGTCCTACATACCTTATTTGCGTAGTCCCACCTAGTAATTGGGAACTCTGGTGGCGTAGTGCCTAAGGCATCTGACTGTTAACCAGAAGGCTGGCGATTCAAACTCACCAGCCACTCCTCTGAAGGATGGTTGGGCAATCTACTTCTGTAGTAAACTGCCTCAGAAACCCAAGGAGGGGTAGCTATGAGTTGGATTTGACTCAGCACAGTAATCTGGTGGGAGTTACAAAGACTGTGGCTGGAAAAGCCACACCAACTAATTCACTGCACCATGTTATGGTAATGAGGTCATGCTGAGTAGGTTAAGTCCTAAACCTAACCCTTCTGCATAGTGTTTTAAAAAAGGAAAAAACAGACACAGAGACACACACATGTACACAGAAAGATACCATGTGGACCCATCTACTAGCCAAAGAATGCCAGGAAATGCTCAGGTACAGAGAAGCTGAAAGAATCAAGGAAATGATCTAGAGTGAATAGAGCATGGCCTTGCTGATGCCCTAAATTTAGTCTCCTAGCTCTGGTAAGCATAGTGCCTAAGGCAATTGACTGCTAATCAGAAGGCTGGTGGTTCAAACCCACCAGCCACTCCTTAGAAGGAAGATGGGGCAATCTACTTCCATAGTGATACTGCCTCAGAAACCCAAGGAGGAGTCGCTATGAGTCAGGTCCAACTTGACGGCACATAACAGCAACAACAAACTTCCAAACTATAAGACAATAAACTGTTCTTTAAAGTCATCACTTGTGGTATTTTTTGTTATGGCAGCACTAGGAAACTAAGATACCCTTCCTTCCTCCCTCCCTCCTCCTTTCCTTCCTTTCACTCTCCCTCTTTTTTTTTCCTCCCTCCCTCCATCTTTCCTTTCCTTCCTTCTACCATATTTATGGGTGTCACTTCTATGCCAGGTAACTTGCAGGTCCTTGGGATACTGCAGAGAAAAATGCAGACACCAGTCACTGATCTCTTGGAGCATATGTCCTAGTGGGAACAGACAGACAAGAAACATTATGAGAAGTAAATTATATAGTATGGGAGCAGGTGATGCATGCAGTGAAAAAGCAGAATAAGGGTACCAGGCTTAGGGGTGAATATTAAAGTGGGTGGTCAGAATGGGCCCCACTGTGAGGTGAGAGTTGAATAAAGAGGAAATGATGTGGGAGTTATGTTCCAGGTGGAGGGAACAGCCAGGGCAAAAGATTTAAGATGGGAGATGTTTGATGAAGAAATAGCAAGTAGAGGCTAGAGTAGCTGGAGTGGAGCAAGCCAGTGGGAGAGGAGGAGAGGAGGCGAGAGAGGTGAAGGTCATAATTTTATAGGGTTGCTGAAAGGACTAGCCCATTGCAGGGTTTGAACAGACAAGTGACCTGGCTTTATTTTAGAAGACCCTCACTGGCTGCTTTGTTGAGACTGCATTGTAGGCTACCAGGGAGGAGCAGGAAGTTCTTGTGGCAGTCCAGGGGCCAAGATGGTGGTGGCTTGAACCAGGATGTAGCAGATAACTGGGGAGCTTAGTATCAATGATATGCATGATTTGAAGGTGGCATTAGCAGGATTGGCAGATGGATCTGGTGAAGGAACACATTTACATTGGATGGGGATGACTCAGCAGGGAGGGAAGATTGTGTCTTTGTGTGAGGAGGTGGGGGTCTTCTGCCTGGTAGAGGTTTAGTCTTTAGAGAGAAGCCCTGGTGGCCCATGCCATTAGATAGGCAGAGGCAGAACTTACCTTGCCATACCTGTTACTAGGCATGGGGAGCTACAGGCAGTATCTGTGCTCTCTTCCCTGAAGCAGGAAGCAAGGCTACTGGATTAAAGAGAAGCTGGCAGAGGAGACTGTGGTCTGAGGTGAGCAAGGTGTGAAATGTCCATACTTCTGCTTCCATCTCAATTGAATGTTAATGGCTAGGCATCTCCTGGAAAAATAAATGCCAGAAGTCTTAGTTTTCTAGGGCTGCAGTAACAAAATAGCATAAAACTGGGTAGATTTAAAGCTGCGAGCAGCCGTCTGATGCAACAATTTGTCTCTCCTCATCCACAGCAAAGAAGAGTGAAAAAAATCAAAGGCAGAAACAATTAGTCCAAGGGACAAGTGGACCATAGCAACCTCAACCTAAATGACCCTGAGAGCAGAACTAGATTGCACCTAGCTACCACTACCAACTACTCAGCAAGGGATCAAAATTGAAGACCTTGGGTAAAGTGGGAGAAAATTGTGGAATAAAACTTAAAATCATAATAAAAGACCCTGGTTTACTAGTCAGATAGAGACTGGTGAAACCCCCAAGACTATGACCCCAACTTGTCCTTCAGACCTGGAATGGAACTCACTCCCTTGGCTTAAATACCAGCCAAATAATGGGCCTATGAGGTGATCAGTTACACCACATAGATGCACTCCTTAGAACAGTCAACCATGAGACATCAGAAGGGCTGCATTTACACAGGGAGATAGCCCAGGGGGCAATAATGCTCAGGAAAGAATAACACAAGGAAAAGGTAACTACCTTTTCGTAAGGGAGGGAGTGGGAAGAGAGCTGTTAATTGTGAGGGTTGCAATCAATGTCATGAATGGAAAATGAATTTGCTCTGTAAACTTTTACTCAAATCACAATAGCAAAAAAAAAAAAAAAAAAAAGCAAAACCCACAGACCCACTGCCATTGAGTTGATTCGACTCATAGCTCCCCCCCCCACCTCCTTGGGTCTCTGGGGTGGTATGGAAGTGGATTGCTGAATCCTCTTTCCGAGAAGTGGTTGCTGGGTTTGAACAGCCAGGCTTCTGGTTAGCAGTCAAGTGCCTTCGCATTGCATTGCATGCACTGCCGTCGAGTTGGATCTGACTCATAGCGAACCCTCCTTGGGTTTCCAAGTCGGTATCACTACGGTGGTAGATTGCCCAACCTTCCTTCCGAGGAGTGGCTGATGGGTTTGAACCGCCAGCCTTCTGATTAGCAGTCAAATGCCTTAGGCACTAGGCCACCAGAGCTCCTTAAGCACTAATAAATAAGAAAGAACAGAAATAAAATTTTAGATGATAGAAGTCCAAATCAGGGTAATGGCTGTGCTGTTTCCTTCTGAAAGCTCTGAGAGAGAGATTGTGCCTAGCTTGTGGCTTTTGACAATCCTCAGTGTCCTTTGACTGGCATCTACCTCTGTTATCACATGACCATGTTTCTTCTGTCCATCTCTGTCTCTCTGCCTATTCTCCTCTTTTATAAGGCACCATTCAGATGGGGTTAGGGCCCACCTGCTCCATTATGACCTCTTGTTAAAGGAAGACATCTTCAAAGATGTTTTATATTTATATCCAGACAAGGTTATGTTTGTTACAGGACGGGGGACCCTCAAGGCCCCAAGTGGGCTCTCGTGAGAATTAATCACAGAGACAGAGGTAGTTTATAGAGAACGAGCCTTTAATGAAACAATACACAAGGCTGTACAGTGGGACAACAACTAGGCATATAGCACGATAGCTGGACTGCCAAAGATTTCTGGTCGGCTTACACCAATTATAGGGGACATAATGTGGAAGCTATGCAGTTGGCAAATCAAGTGCTCAGGTTTCATGCTTTCCCTTATTTGGATTCTTGGCTTCTTGTGCTTCTGTCTTCTGAATTGGTCTGGGCACCTACTTGTTCAAAATGGATGCTGCTGTAGATCAAGATGGACACTGTCACAGGGTCTTACATGCTGACGCCACACTTGAGAATCTGCAATAAATAAACTGGTGATTTCATACTTTGCTAATAGCAGTTTCATTAGTCACAGTTTCTTACATTTTGTAATCATTGTCAGCAAAGACTTTTAAGCAACCTAATTTTAACTTAAGTATATGTCACAATTTTCCAGTTCCTATCAGCAGGTGTAATTTAAGCAATTTACAAAAAGTAGTCATCAGAAAAAAATACAGCTGGGGCAGTTTCCATTCCTTACATGTGTCCCTGTCTCATGTATACAGGTATGGGGGGGTTAGGACTTCAGCATATCTTTTTGGAGAACACAGTATCTATATCACAGTTGTATAAATTGGAAAATGCTAGGAGGTTTAGCCTGCTGTGAGGCATTGTGAGATGTTGGATTTGTGGATGGAGGAATGCGAGTATCTAGAGGATTGCAGGGGTCCTGAGTGCTTTCAGGTGACAGGTGCCTGCTGAGTTGATCATTGAATCAGGCCCAAGGCCTGGTGCTAGCCAGAGTTCTATTTTCATATTTGTTTTGTACTGTGACGTTTTCTGATGTTCTAAAGTAGTTTTTTTAAACCTTTGTATTTTTGGCAACTAATGATGTTATTGAAGTTTTTTATAGGCAAATTACTGCAATTGCATTGTTTTACAGCTTCAGAGAACCTCCTTTCTTGCATGGTGTTCTGCAGCCAAATACAAAATTGAGACAGGCCAAAAGGCTATTTGAAAATCAACTTATTGGGCCAGAGTCCATAGCACATATTGGGGGTAAGTATACTGTGGGCTTACAGAGTCTGATGCTGTGGGGCCTTTGAGGCTGTCTGCTGTTGTGAGGAGTGGATTCTTTGGGAGCAGCTCATAATGGTAGTTACTGTTAGAGTGGGAGGCTCTAACATTCTTCTTAGCTCCACTGAGTGGGACCTGGATGTCCTTCTTAGTACCACCAGGGATGGGAGGCCTTGGACCTTATTTTTCATTCCACCAGGGGCAATCTGGACACCCTTCTTGGTTCCAGATATGCTACATGTCAAGTAGACTGCTCCATGGGAGTGTACTCTCTGGCTCTTTCTGAGTGCTTGCCTCTCAGAATTGCAGTGTCACTCTAATACCAGGTCGTTTTTGAGTTCAACTCTGTGGAACACTTCATTATGTTCAAAGTGCTGGTCTCTTTAAAATGAAAGGGTAAAGGCAGAATATAGACATTGGTGATTAATTTATTTGTCAAAGTTTGTCAGTAGGTGTTACTTGACAGATATTATTGCCCAACTGTTTTTCTTTCTGTAGATTTCATTTTGAAATGCAGGTGAATGATTCACAATCTTCCCACTGTTTGTTTGTAAAGCTCACATTGTTAGGTACATGTAAGGGTACGTTCAGAGTAAACCATCTGTTACACATCAGGAACTAGAATCTGGTCTGATTGTAATTCTTGCATCCTTAGCAATGGGAAGAAAGGTATCTTCTATTAAAATACGAATTAAGCTGAGCAATTAAAAAAATAAAGTTAATGAAAATATTTACAGACTTAAAATACTGTGAGGATTTGTATTTTGCCTTATTTTGAGCAACTTATTTTGACTTTTCTCTCATCCTTCTGAAATACCATTATCCGTGATATAGCTGTGGACCTAAGTATCCAGTATTCCTATACAGAGAGTCACCAGCTTACAACATGTTGAAGTTATGACGAACAGTACTTACAACCATGTTTTTATCCCCCCACATTTTATCTTTAGTAATATGTGCTACATACAATGTGAAAATACATCTGTCAGTTTTTATGTAATGTTTCCAGATCAGATTTATAAAGATACTGATAATAAAAGGCAGTGATAATGAAAACTAAAAAAGAAAAAAAAAGAGGTATTCAACTTACGTCAAAACCAACTTACGAGGGGAGTTATTGGAACAGAGACCCACTGTAAGTCAGGGACTACCTGTATTTCTTTTTCTTTTTAATGGTAGATCAGTAGTCACCCCTCTAGCTGTATTTGACTACCTTCTCTTTCCAGCTCTTACTGTTTGACACCCAAACACCAGCACATCTTCGTAGATTCTATTTTTTTTTTGCAGTGTTTCCAGAGAGAGATGTATTTTTTCATGTAGAGTGTTTAATGATAGAACTTTCAATTTTGCTTAAAAAAAATTTACATTAGTAAACCACATAAATTTTGTTAGTGAAAAATCAAAATTTGATATTTAACACTGGAACTTACAATAGTAAAGTGCAGTCATTGTTCCATTTTTTTACCTTACAAAGAGAGCACTTTTCCCTTCCCACTTGGCCTGACTTCTTGCCGTACTTCACCAGCTCTTGCGTTTTTTTTTTTTTTTTGCCTACACTGAAGGAACTGATAGTCCTCTCATTGACAATTCTGGTTAGATGTTATGGGGTTTCTTGGGTTATCCCACTATGTCTGTGACCCACAGGGTCCATCAAGGATTGCTACTGCAGCCTTGTTTGAAAGTTGCCATGGTAGATGGCTAACATTGATGCTTATAGAGGCAGAAGATACTAGCCTCAAAGGAGAACGCATAGGGAGAAAAATCATGTTTTCAGTTTTATCCTGAAGGACTCCTAACTGGGTATAACCACCATTAGCAGCAGACACTGATGTGTGGCTGACATGAACACATGCCCCAGGCTCTTAAGCAGCTGGTTGGGAGCTGTATTCTCTCTGGAGGATGGGTGATCCTCCTAGTTTCCTAGTTTCATGGGCTGAGGTTACTGCAACCTTGCTCTGCAATAAGACTCTGGCGTACGTACCAATCTCCTAGGCTCATGGGTTTATTGCTGCAAGGCTTTAAGGACGTTTTATTTTCAGACTGCACTTCTTCATCTTTGGAACTCCTATTCCCTCTCTGAAGACAAAAGCATAAACAGGCCACCTTTCTTGTAGAAGAGTGGTGTGGTTGCAGTTCTATAGGCTACCACCATAATTCTTGTATCCTTCTCATTTTTTAAACAGATGCCATGTTTACTGGTACAGCGGATGGTCGGATCGTGAAACTTGAAAATGGTGAGGTAGAGACGATTGCCCAGTTCGGCACTGGCCCGTGCAGTAAGTCAGTGACATGCCCCAGGACTTACGTCTCCTTGTATTGTGCAAAGAGCCTTCAGATGGCCCTGAAGACAAATAGGACCTCTGACCATTGGACAGATAGGGCATGACTCAGAATCTTGTCCTGTGCAGGTGCCTACTCCTCACCCTGCAGTTGCAGCTTCCTGCCAGTCAGGGTATTAGTACTTGCTTGCTACGTTTTGAAGCTCTGCTAGTCACCATTAGCACAGGTCTGTGTTCACCCCTATGATGCAAAAGGAGATTACTTGGAGATTCTTGGAGAAGATTACTGAGTGTTGTCATCAGGGTGCTACCGTAGAAAAGCAGTTGGGTCTGCCGTAAGTTGGATGCTTAAGTGTAATTCTTTCATTAGCTTCTAAGGAAGTTCACAGTGTCATTCAGTGGGACACTATCCTTCACTCACTCAGATATTTAAAAATTATAGTAAATTAATCTTAATGTTTAAAAACTGGCAGCCCACAGAATTCTTTTTGTTGTTGTTATTGTTAGCAATT